ATTTTCTATAGCACAAGTATTGCAAGCATGTATCTCGCCTTGTTACCGTAAGACCTTAATTGAATAACGCTAACTTCTTGAGAGCCTGACAGGCATTTGTACAGTTCGTGTCTCACAAAATAAGCTAAAAACAAAACAAACAAATAGCGTTTGTCCGAGTGCATTTATATTTTTTTTAAATGTTCTCACGATGTAGAAACTTTCCACCAAAAATTCCTGTACATTATTTAACTTGTAATTTTTTTTCAAATATCCAATAAAAGAAGAAAACGTTGCAAATTTGAATAGCACACACAATATAATTCAACAAAATCCTATTGTTAGAAATGTATAAATGGTTCAATTGTTGACATTTAAAACCGCTTGGAAAATTCCAGAATATAAATTATTTATCTAAAAGAAAAAATCCAATTCAATTTCACATATTTTTTAGAGCATGCATGCAAAAATATAAAATTGATACGGTATCCCTTTTTTGCGTGTAAATGTATTCACAAATAAGAAAAAGAGTCAAAATTTACACCTTTTCTCGTACATAAATCTATATTTAAACAAATTTCTTTTACCTGGGAATTCATTAAATTTCACTCTTTTTCACAAAAAGAGAGAAAGGAGACGCGGACACACATGCACGTAAAATGAGATACTCTTCGAACAATTAACGTCACAGATAAAGGGGAGAAAATGTCAAAAAGGTCACTGTAAACATGAGTTCTCTGTCACGCTGCCGACCTATTTCAATTTTAGAGAGGAAACGTGATTTTTATTCCGAAAGTTTTCATCGAGGAATTGAGCTATTCTGTTGATTTATAAGTTGGACTTATAAAAAGATTTTAAAAAATTTATTGCTAGATATTAAGGTTTGTATTGCACTTGAAGTGCTAGTGACAGTCAACCCTTGTTCTCGCATAGTTTGTACAAAACTATCAAATTGAGTCATCTTAAAAAATTTATTTAATAAATAAACCATCCAAATAAAATTTCAACCGTGCTTTTGCCAGATATTAGGGACAGAAGGTTAAATATAAAACAAAGCCTTATTCTTTAAAAAATTAAAAATTAAAAATGAGAAAACATCATAGAACCGATTTGTTTCTACTACTTTTAGGACATATACCAGCCTTAGCCTATAGAAAATATTTGGTTGGGGACCAAACGTAAACTTTACTCATTCCAAACTAAATAAAATGAGGTTTATGGAACAAAAAAAGCATTTTAGGAAGAGCAAAACCCCGGAACCAAGATTTTAACACAATATTCCACATTAAAAGAAACAAAATGTACGTTTTTCTGCTTTATTTTAGAGATGTTTTCAATCTGGTCACATTGTGAGACGCAAATATTGTATTCTAAGGTCAAAAAAGCAGAAATAATGTAAGGTCGAAGATCAACTTTTTCTGAAAAACATTACCAAAGATAACTGGGACGACTTTTTTTTAACCTACATCTATCAGATAGCTTAAAGAACTGGAACCTAAATTTTTTTCGTCCTACACAACTGGCATGAAAAGCCAGAAACGTATAAGGAATAAATAAAATAAGACATGATAAAATCCATGTTTTTGACATAATTTTAGTACGTTTTTTGAATCAATAAAATTTCAAGAAAAAAAACGAACACCATTTTTTTGTACAACACGTCAGATATAAAAATTCAACGAAATGGATTTTTATTTATAAAATCTCCATATAAAGATGACATAAGGAAGACATATAATAAAACCCACGTAATTGCCTAATTTTAGGATTTTTTATCTACCAGAGGGTTTTAAAAAACCTGACATCCAGGAAATTTTAGATTTCGTCTATTTCTCTATTTGCCTTATAAGGATCCTTTCTGAAAGTGATGATCCTATGATTGATCTTGAATCAGGTCAAAAAGTCAAAAACATAAGGAAAAAATCGAATATTTTTCATAAAATTACCAAAGAAAAGAATACATGCCATCAAACCCGTGTTTTTACTAAATTTTAAGAAATTTATATTCACCTATCAGTACTTAAAAAGAACCCCACATTTTTAAATACAGGTCAGGTTTTAAAAGTTAAAAACACATAGGAAAAAAGGTTAATGAAACCGTGCTTTTTAAATCCAGGGTATGAGACAATTAAAAAATTAAAATTTTTCAACAATAAAATTGGGAAAGCCTCATGTTTTTCCCAATTATTTTTATACCATGATTTTACCAAATTTGGAAGATTTCCCAGGGATGTCTTTGACCAAGCATAAGCGAAAAAACGCATTTCAGTACAAAAATTGTACGCAGGATTTGTTTTATCCTGCATGTCAGGTCAAAAACCTAAGGAAAATTAAATTTTCTTCTTGATATCCCCAATTAAAGAAGACCTAAGAGAGACATATCAACCCATGTTTTTGACCTAATTTTCGGCCTTTTTTATTTCAAGATTTCAACAAAAAAAACGAACACCACTTTTTTTACTACAAGGCAGGTCTAAAAAGCAAAAGAAATTTGTTGTATGAAATCTCTATAAGGATGTAAAAAGACAGCATATCATAAAACCCATGTAATTACATAATTTTATGATTTTTTAAATCTATCAGAATTAAAAGGTTAAAAAATTCTGGATGTTTTGTCCTAACTGTCAGGTCAAAAAATATAGAACATACAGGGAAAAATGATGTTCTTTCTTAGAATTTCTCAATTAAAGATGACCTAAGGCATCATAAAACTCAGGTAATTAAATAAATTTATTAATTTTTTTTTCAATTCCGAATGTTCAAAACAGCTGGACCCAGAATTTTTTCTCCTAAACGTCAGATCAAAAAGTCAAAAACATATAGGGAAAAATCGTGTTTTTTCGTAGAATTCCCCAATTAAAAATGACCCAAGACATCACAAAATCGACGTAATTACATAATGTGGGGATTTTTTTCAATCTATAAGAGAGTTCAAAAGACCTGGTGCCAAGGATGTTTTGTCCTAAACGTCAGGACAAAAAATCAAAAACATATAGGAAAAAATCATGTTCTTTCATAGAATTCCCTAATTAAAGAGACCTAAGACATCATAAATCCCACGTAATTACATTTTTTTTAATCAATCAGAATTTTAAAAAGACATGATGTCAAGGATATTAAAAGGAGGTTAAATTTTATATAATTTTAGAAGCAAAGTTCGTTCATAATTAAACAATTTAGAAATTAATTTTTTTACATATTTGATTAGGTAAAAAATCGAAACATATTGGGAAAAAGTCACGTTCTTTCATAGGATTCCCTAATTAAGGATGACCTGAGACATCATAAAACGCACATAATGGCATAATGTTATTAATGTTTTTTTTTAATATATCAGTGTTCAAAAGATCTGACACCTAGGATGTTCATAAAAATATAGGGAAAAAATCATGTTCTTTCATCGAATTCCCTAATTAAGGATGACCTGAGACTTCATAAAACGCACGTAATGACAAAATGTTATTAATGATTTTTTTTAAATATATCAGTTATTAATTCAAAAGAACTGACACCCAGGATGTTTGGGAAATTGAAAAATTTAGGAACCACATGAAACCTATGATTTTACCTAATTTAGAGGATTTCTCATGGGTATCTTACAATTAGGCTAAGTACAAAGCAAACACGCATTTTAGTTTTTTTTAATAGTTATGATTTTTTTCTAGAGGATTACTTTTAAAAAATCGAATCTGTTGGAAATTAGAATTAGATTAGATGAAAACAGCTCAAAATTTTGTCTGTTTTTGGGGGCAAAGTTCGACCATAGTTATACAAGTTGGAAATTAATTTTTTTAAATATTTGATTATGTAAAAAGTCGAAACATATAGAGAAAAATCAAGTTCTTTCTTCGCATTCCCCTAATTAAAAACAACCTAAGGCATCATAAAACCCATGTAATTACATAATTTTATTAATTGTTCTTTAAATACAACAGTGTTCAAAAGATCTGGCACCAAGAATGTTTTGGAAATTGAAAAATTTAGGAACCACATGTCACCTATGATTTAACCTAATTTAGATGATTTCTCATGGGTACCTTACAATTAGGCTAAGTACAGTGGAAACAGGCATTTTAGTTTTTTTGAATTATTAAGATTTTTTTCTCGAGAATTACGTTTAAAAAATTGAATCTGTTGCAAATTAAGATGGGACTAGGTAAAACATCCCAAAATTTTGTCTGATTTAGATGCAAAGTTCGTTCATAATTAAACGAGTTTAAAATTGATTTTTTAAATATTTGATTAGGTAAAAAGTCGAAACATATTGGAAAAAAATCATGTTCTTTCATAGAATTCCCTAATTAATGATGACCTGAGACATCATAAAACGCAAGTAATGACATTAATCCTTTTTTTAATATATCAGTGTTCAGAAAATCGGGCTCCCAGGATGTTTCGAAAATTGAAAAAATTGGGAATCACATGTCACCCATGATTTAACCTAATTTAGATGATTTCTCATGGGTACCTTACAATTAGGCTAAATACAAGGCAAACACGCATTTTAGTTTTTTTAATAGTTAAGATTTTTTCTAGAGGATTACGTTTAATAAATCAAATCTGTTGCAAATTAAGATGAGATTAGGTGAAAACAGCCCAAAATTTTGTCTAATTTTAGAAGTTCGTTCATAATTAAGCAAGTGTGTAATTATTTTTTTTTTGTAAATATTTGATTATAATTTTTTTAATGAAGCTTAAAATTGTTACAGTTTAGACAAGCTTAAAACGTAAAATCACTCGGGTAGGGGTCAAAAAAATGATATTTTATATATGATTCTTGTAGAAATTTTTGATTTATTTTCCTTACATTTGTTTGGAAGGTGAAAACAGGGCAGAATATTATAGCGGATCGAGAATAAAATCTTGGGGAAAAAACGAGTCATCCCGGTTCAAAATCTAACGGTACCTCCGGCGTTTTCTCTTAGACAGGGCACACGCCCATCGTCAGTAGGCGATGTCCGTGATAAAATATTCCAAAAGGGTTGTTTTATTTTTTGTCTAAAAATGATTTCTTTAATTACCTGTCGATGTGAGGGTGATGAGGGCGAAAAAGGCCCAGAATTGGCCTAGATGCCGCATCCTGGCCCGAAATTCTCGTCGTCTGTCAACACTTAACACATCACTGTTTCATCCATGGAACTGTTAACTGGTCCTCTGGAAACGGTTTTAGCGTTCTTCTTTATGTTTATCCAACAAACCCGCTCTTGGATCTTGACACGATACCGTCCGGTATTCAACTGGTCGTTCTTCGCCTGCCTGTGGTGGGGCGGTTTATCCTTCCTCCACCTACTGGCCGGATCCCTCCCAACCTAAAGCACCTCGGCGACCCGCAATCGCCTTCCGAAGACGTTCCACGACCCCAAGGAAATAATCGTCAGGCATAATTTACACATACAAACCTCATCGAAACCCCAACTTCTAGAACAATTTGTAACCCCCAGTGAAGAATAAATAAACGCAAAGATGCTGCAGACCTGCATATCAGATTAAACCTTAAATCATAGATCTCGCCTAGTGGGAACAAATAAAAGTTTTTTTTTAAATAAATATTTTAATGATCTCTGAGCTACAGTCGTCTTAAACGACATGGAAGATCATTAACCAATAAAAATGACTGCTTCCCACAAGAAAATTTGTTTATGCAGACAAGAATGGTTTCATCGAAAAACAAGCTTCACAGAATTTTCCATGTATTCTGAATTGAACAAACTCGATGAGGGAATATTTGGATCTTCCAACCCGATACTTCTACTTCGCAAGTCCATATCAACGTCAATATAACAGTATTTTGATTTTAGGTTAGGGAAGTTAGGGTTAGTATCACTGAGCTAAGATGGATCTGAATGGAAAGTAAGAACAATGTCATCAGTTAAAATAGTGTAAAGTGTAAAGAGATAGCTGGAATGACAGTGTATATTGCAAATAGGAATGGACCAAGGATGCTGCCTTGTGAGAACTCGGAAGTACCCGTACACTGTACTGTACACTGTGATATTTTCTACTCAAAGTACTAACTTATGTGAGTAGAACTATCAGCCACATTACTCACCTCAAATTTAAACTATTTCGACTATGATATGTGGTTGGTTTAAAGATATCCATGAACATCATTGTAATCATGTAACCATGGTACATCTTACAGTGACATACAATGCTCAAATATAAGGTTAGGGTTCGGTGAGCTTAGGTTGGGGTTAAGGTTAGGGTTAGGGGACCTGTTATGTAAGGTAGGGTTAGTTTAGAGTTGGGGTTAGATTAATTATTCTTCTTACGTAAGGTCTTGGTTGAGATGAAAAAGTTAGTGAGCGGGATTCGAACCCACGAGCCTCAATGCGCCGCTGCTCTAACCATTTGAGCTATCGTGACTTCGACCCACTCGGACACTAACTCCCCATCTCAACCTACAACCTTCCGAATTTTCCCTCTTTTTGCCATGTTTCATCTGAACCAAGACCTTACGTAAAAAAAATAATTAACTGAAAAAATTTACATGGTCAATTAGGCCACTAACCATAAATGGGTTAGGGTTAGAGTTTATGGAATGGTTAGGTAGTTTGCATCTATACATCTATTTCCCCACAATTTCTAAAATCTCTTCTTCTCTCTCGTCTCCTCTTAACTCCACCTATTTTTCTAATTTTTTCACACGCACTTTCATATATATCGGTTTTTTGGTTTTTTGGTTCTTATGTACGTTCTAAATACACGAAAAATAATGACGTACTTAACTAACCTGCCCCTCTTTCGGGAATCAGTGTTGCCCCAGTCCCTCCCACCTGACAAAATGTCTTCATAAATCAATTATAAAATAATAGTATAAATTAAACCCTGCCAACAATTCTGACAATACAAAAATAAATATTGCTTCTCCGTTTAATGACATAACTTTGCTTACTTTATTATAATTAAAATAATTCACTATAAACCTGTTTAATGTCTGAAAATTGTAAAACCAGCAACTTATTATATTTATTAGCTGTATCAATTAAAAGTGCTGTAATTTTCCCAAGAGATAATTAAAAATCCATTAAACCGGTTGAAAGTTATATCCTGTGCAATGTTAGAAATTTCTAATGGGCAGTTTTATTGTACTGTTTAAAATTGAAACTGGTGCTGCTGGAATTGTTTAATAAATTAGTCGAATACAAATAAATTCAGTGCTCTCTGGGCTTGAATGTTTCGAAAAATAGATAATAAATCTTCCGAGCCGTCAGTTTTATTGTACTGCAGCACTTTTTTTTTTTAATTTTTGTTTAAGTCCGCCCGATAAAGGGGAAATAAATAATAAGACCGCGCCGGTTATTTGCCGTTTATTTACTATCTCCGGGCGTTCCGACATCCGCATCCCATCAGGATAGAATTGAAATTCGCTCTTCATTTCGAAAAATGTTACACGCCAGCGGAAAATGACCCGCCGGGCAATAACTGGGTTAGTGTTTTCCAACGGGCAATAAAGTCGATTTTGAACGGTTCCAGCCCGAGTGAAATCCTTAATCCTCCACCAGGACCAAGGGGAAAAAAAGGACAATTGGTACAAAAACCTGTGGAAAATCGGGACGTGCACTTTTTTCACAACTGTTGCCGTTTATCTTTCAACTTTTGAGATAAGTCAACTATGATGGGCATCTCATAAAATTAGACTTAACTGGGCTATTTTTCCTATTTTATCCTGGCTATTCACCTATTTTAAGCAGTGCCAGTATCATTTGTATAATCAAACAGATTGTTTTTATATTTTGATTCTCTTTATGTCCCTTTCCTTCTATAATATTGCATATATTTTCTTTTTCTAATAGCGGATTCCAGATATTTTTGCAAAAATAAATCATTTCCTTCATTAAAAATGACGTTTATCTGCATCGTTAAAACGCAAATGGTAAAAAATGTCAAAAAAATACGTTTTAACGACGCTGCAGTTGACAATAAACAAGTTTTTATAGGAGATTTCTGATAATTTACAATTGGCTTAGTTCAATTTTACATTGCTAAGAATAATTGAAAAAGGTTCGACACGCCCTGTTTATATCCCTGACCTTATCCTTGTTCCATGGCACCTGGACAAACTCCTCCAGGCGACATCGGTATCATTCGACAGTGCAACATGGTGGTAGGCATCGCAACCTCCCTGAAGGAATGTTTCACTTTCTTTGGGTGTTGTTTGAAAGATACAAACATTATCGAAGCAGATGGTGGAAATTTGGCCACAGGCTATGATCACAAATACAATCAGATAAAATCACCACCTTTTTATGCAGGACACGTGAGCCGACCAAGTCCAGGAACCTCTAAGGATGGGGTATGAGTCTACCCAGGCATTTAACCCCTCGGGTCTTGGTTACACGTAATATATATATAATTACTACCTTACGAAAACTAAGAAACTTGCAGTGAGACAGTAGAAGCATCGGAACATAAGTGACTGCTAAATGGTAGCATTTTTAAAGGATTACTTAGTAGCCACGGTGAGTCGGCAAAACATCGTTCCAAAATACTGACCGTTACTTTTAAGCACGATCGGAAAATACTTGCCGGTGGGTGTTCTAGAAGGCATCATCCTGGGTCCCATTCTCTAATCATGATAATGTACTAGATATGCCGATACCGCAGTCTTTTCAATTAACCTAGACGTTCCAACCTCCATAAAATCCAGCCATTCGAGACCAAACCCCTTCCTCAGCTTCCTACTTCGTAATCCAAACTTACTGTCTACGCAGACCTCCAAAATCTATTTGTCCTTAAACTTGAAAGAAGTCAACACTTTCATACAACCCTGGCCCTTCATACCAAACCCTTTCCGGCAATCCTCTAAGACACCTAAAGCTCCAATGTTATGGCGACTTCCTCCCTAGTGAAGAAAGGATAAGAGAGACGACCACAAGGCCTACTGCACTTCGACCTAAATCTATTGTACTCCTCTGTTAATTATAATTCTCTGGCCAGCTTCAGGCTATTAACCAGCCCCCACAGCTTTGCCAGCGGTTCCTTGGTGAAGGATCTTGCTTATGGTTTTTCTTGTCCTATTTGCAAGAACCTGCACGTACATAGACCTGCGCATAAACATAAAATGTGTTCTGCGGTTTCCTCCTCTTCCTGGCAGTATTTGCACATGTTTCTTCTGTCTGTACTCCTATCCGGTGCATGTGCTTTCTTAAGTGGCAGTGCTCCATCAGAAGTGTACCGGTGTTCTTCCATCGAAAAAACTCATTTTTGAAGGGGGTTGGGACCAAATTCAGGGTCGCTGAGATCCGATCCCGCCTCTTCCATTGATGAGTGCCGTGTCAATTTCTTTCAATTGCGGCCACCGGTCCCCTTAAGCGACAGAAGAAGTCCAGAGGCGACGGTGGGGATCGAACCCACGACTGCGGGATCCACTAGCCGAGAGTCTGACGCCTTAACCACTCGGCTACCGCGGCCCCCCGCCTATCCTTGCAGATGGTTGTCCATTTATGATCCTGTGGGCTGCTGCTCTGTCTTCTCCTTTGATTAAAATGTGAAGTGGTGAGAGGTTTAACAACACTTCCAGGGCCACAGTTGGCGTTGTGCTCATGGCACACGTGACACTGAGACACGCTTGCCTTTGGGTGCCACTTAACAGCCTCATTGCTTTGGCCTGAAGAGTTTTGGTTCATACCACCGACCCATATGTCAACATTGGTCTTAGGACACAGGTGTATAGCCATAGGGTCATTTTGGGGTTTAGACCCCAGTTCATGGCGCAGAGCCTTCTGCACCTTCCCCAGGCAATTTTCGCTCTTTGGGTGGTTTTAGTTAAGTATGACTTCCACGTGAGCCGCTGATCTAGTGTAATCTCTAGATATTTGGCCTCCTTGGAAAATGGAATCAAAGTCCCGTTTAGGCTTGGAGTTTTTAAGCTTCCTGTAGTCCTTTTCCTTGTGAATGGAATCACTATGGTTTTGTGGGGGATAACTCTTCCCTTCTGCACCACCTGTCAACCAGATTGAGGGCTCGTTGTATACGATCCATCACAATGTTCGCATGGCGGCCTTTTACTACTACGGCAAGTCGTCCATATAGCGTAGGCAGTAGAATCCCCTAGTGTAGAAAGTAAATAGTGTTGTCATATGAGCTAATCCACAAAGTTGTTGCTTCCTAGCTCTGTTGTAACTTAGTAATAAAAAATCGAATTAATATGGAATGAGATCAACCTGTTAATCGTACAACAGAGATGTAACCTCCATCTTTTTATTCTATACAGTACAGCCAATATTCACTTCTCCTAAATTT